AATTGGAGCATATTGCGATATATATCATTATTGTGATATAAAATAGTCCATATCATGATATATGATTTTTTCCATATCGCCCAGCACTACTATGAAGACAGATAGTGAAGCTGCATAGTGGTGCTGCCGCTTCAAACACTCACGTTACTGCAGGCCAGGTGCAGCGCCGTGTTTCCTTCTTTGTCCGTAAGGCTGAGGTCTGCATTGGCGCCGGTCAGCAGCACATCTGCAAAAAACACCGGCGTTAAAATAAATCAGAAAGAAGCAAGCAACAGAGAAGAAAACCGACTCAAACAGAAAGAGAGAATCGGCACCGAGAGCTTCGGCCCGGCCTTTCTCTGCCGCCATCATCAGCGCCGAACGGCCCGACTGGTCCACAGTGTCTACAGGTGCATCATGGGAGAGAAGCAGCTGGATGCAGTCTACGTGTCCGTTGAACGCTGCAGCGTGGAGAGGAGTCCTGCAGGAGCAAAGAAGGAGGAATGATGCACTGGAGACGAGAGCTGCAGCATCGGCGGCGTTCAGCTCTGGTCTTACCTGCCCTTCGCATCGCTGCAGCCGGCTATGTCTGATCCCATGGCCTCCAGAAGCAGCGACGCACACGCTTCATGGTCGTTCAACCTGACAATTCAACCGCCGACACGGCGTCAGGCATGAAGGGCAAACAGCCAAACGGAAAATGTAGCAGAGGGACCAAGAGGCCGACTTACGCTGCACAATGCAGAGGAGTGAAAGGGTTCCCATCGATGCAGCGGCAGCCTTTCTGCTCCAGCAGGACCTCCACACACCCTTCATGGCCTGATGATGCAAACGCATTTTAGTAACAACCAGTGGAAAACAGATGAAGTATGGCGTCACATTTATTTCAAAACTTTCTGGGAGCAAAATAAACATACAGGCATGTATGATAAACTACTTCTGCCATTGGTTTATCTACCATCGCTCAAAGATGCAGGAGAAACCGCCGCTCAGAGAGGAGGAAAACGCTCTCCATGTGCGGCAGTTCCTCCCAGGCGCGCTTGGGATCTAACCGCGCACACGATTTTCTGTCGTGGCCATGCTGGAGGACAGCTGCGCTCCTGAAAGCGTCTCTGCCCTCGGACTGATTTACAACTCGCGCAAAGGAAATAGTTTTTTGACAGGTTGGGTTGAGAAAATCCTCTACTGTAAGCCTCCTCCTGATTGGGCCTTGCAGACACCATCACACAGGAAGTAGTGTCACGGCTGGAGGCGTCATTGTCCCGCCTCCAGCGGGAGCTTTTGATAGAGGCGGGAGCGTGGCGCCTACAGCCGTCGCCTCCACCTGAGCACGATACCAAGCGAGTGTGGGAGGAGCTAGCGCGCATAGAGAGCTACTTTCTCCTCTGTGAGCGGCAGTTTCTCGTCAATGTGTGATTTTGATGTGCGGTGGTAGATAAACGCTGGTAAAGATTCTCACTCATCCAGGTGAGAGTCATTCCAGAAAAAAGAAAATAAAAAACAATCCACTGGACTTTGTTTCCAAGTTTGAAGAC